CGAATGACCATGAGATCTTGTGATGGATGCAGTCTGAGCAACCAGATCCAGGATCCACAAGCCAGTACTCGAAAGAACACTGTTCGTTACTGATCGAAAAAAAGACAGAGGCAATTTTGGGCACAATTACCTTTTGGGGACGACAGGAGGCGAGTTCGACGACGCGGCCATCATACGAGAGGAGATGTCTTCGTTGGTTTCTTGCCAGGATCGAGTTTTTGTTTCATAGCCGTTGTTGGAGGCAAACTTCTTTTGCTACGAAACAAAACAGTCACATTAACATATGAAAAATGTATGACAAAACGGGTTGGCGCATTATTTTGCTTTCAATTAACATTGCCTGTTTTTCAGCAAAATACAGATACCTAAAATGTTGCGTAAGCACCCAAATCGGTAAGCGATCCCAAATGCAAAAGCGAAGTTTAGAATTCTGGCATTGGTCGATCTCAGATGCCGTGATGCTTTTTGGGACCTCAGCGATCCGAGTGACAGTTAGAAAAGAACCACTTTTGAAACAAGGGCCAACGTCCACAAAAACAATTGAAACCGGTACATTTACGTGGCGTCGGGTGCCAGAAGCTTGGTCTTGTCCCCCGCGGCACCGTCGTCCCTACAGAAGTGATGGACAGTACCGTATGACGGCAGGTGATCGGAGATGGCGCTTAAGCACCCGCTTCAGCTACCAGGGTTTTTGCTTACAGGACGACGACCTCTGCGCCTTTGTCGAGAAGAAGACGAGGGCAAAGACAGAAGACGGCCAACGGACGGAGCAACAAGAACCGATCACGGCCGCAAACGTGCCGTCTTTGCATGCATAAACACATATGGCCATTTGGCAGGCAATTCCGCCCAAACTGGCAGCCAGAAAATGGGTCGGGTGCCGCCCTTAGCTTTCAGCTGTTTACCTATTCATGCTGAGTCACGTACGTGTGTATTTGTGTTTCTCGCTCGTTCAGAGAGACGATTAGTTACCTGTTGGTAGTAGTTCATCTCGTACAGCGGCGAATACAGGTTTTCGTTGACGAAACTTCTGATCGGAGTGCTGCTGCTTTCGCCATGCACTTCCACGTCGTACGTGCTGTTGCCGTAACGAGCACTATTTTTGGTACGCTTGTCCCGGTCCCGCCGTTGGGACATCGCATCGCTATAAAACAAATTATTTATAAACATATTAAAAGCCACGGCATACGCTGTCCGCATTGCGGTATTACTTTCATCTTGTCGTCTGGTTTCATCTCAAAATGTAATCATAATTATGATACAAGAAAGATGTACTTTCAGCAATAAAGAAGACAACTAGGCATGAACATGAATGCTCCTTTCTGTGGTCATTTCGAGAACTGCTCACACAGCGAAGCTCGAGTTTCCCAAAAGTACCGTGGTCGAAGATATTTTCGTCTACGAATTGTTCTCTCTGCAGATCAAGGGACCACATTTGCCAAGGTTTGAACACGCA